GGGTCCACCAAAAGCCTGTGCGGACGGCTAACTCTGTCCGGCGTCGGTCACAATGGCCTAAGTCCGAGTGTAGGTCGCTTAACACAGTGTTAACCAAACAGCCTGGCGTCAATGGACGCATATGATGGGTATTGTACTTTGTCCACATGCACCCATACCGGCTACCGGTCCACCTTCCTGCAGCTTTCTCTTCAGGCGGCTCCAGTAGCCTTCTATTACATTAGCATGTCTACCCGTCGTGGGGTCGACAATATTTAGGCTATGGTCAACCATGTAGTGCTCATTTTCGACTGTGGGAAGAGGGGTATAACCTTCCCACACATCCGTCACTATGACATTGCCCTTGGCCATTCACTTCATAGTCACCGTTTTCAATGCTGACCACGTGCGGTTACTTACTTACTCAAAATGACCTTTTTGGGTATCATATATGGCCATTATCCAGTAGGATCGCCTTAGCCTTCCTCCACTATATTTCCTTTTGCTTATTAGCGTTTCATCGATTTGAGCTTTAACTCCAGGTCCGCCTAGCACTGCAGCAAAAGGTGCGGCATATGCATCTATGTGTGCTTCAGCGCCCTACTGAAAGAAGGCAACTCGGATTTCGGGGAGTGATTGAAGTCCAAGTTGATGAGACCTCAACCACAAGATGGGAAGCAGCAAAGCCGGAAAAGGCAGCACTTGATTATGAGTATTTATGATACATCCAAAAGAAAACCATCTTCCAGCAAGTGAACGATACGGGTTGCTTCTCGCCTAGACCTGTTTTCGTAACGGAAAAGTGGAAAGTGTATGCCGCATCTACTCTATGAGGTTTACGAGCACTACACCGTCAACCATTACTGAAACTCCGAACAGCACAGAGGCCTACCGGAGTCGACAGGTGCGCGCCTGCCTGAAAATGGCCCCGATAGTGCGTGCGAAAATGGCCACTGTTTTGTATATTCAGTTTATTTGGTAAGGATAATAGGCAAAGCCTTTGAAAACCCTATTGATTACATGTCAGCTCGTTAGAAATAACTGCATATGAACAAAAAATGTTCACTAGTAAAACAGTACTTAATTCATTTGAGTAGCATTGTTTCAGAGAAAATATTTTGGGGTCGTTCAGTATTAGTTCAGATTCAGACTTTCGAGGGAAAACAGGGGACACAAATAATCATCCAAGCGTTTCTTGAAGAGTTGCATGGACGTAGCCTCCACGGCTGACTGAGGGAGATCGTTCCATTTCTCCACTACCCTCTGCGTGAAAAATTCAGAACGAAGATTCAACCTGGACATTGTTGCCCGTAACTTCATCGAGTGACCACGAAGATTGGGTGAAAGGTGCCACTGAAACATGTTCTCAAATTTAAGTCCAAGCTCAAGGCCATGTATTATCTTGTAGACGAGAATAAGATCACCTCGTTGCCGGTAGCATAGAGGGAATAAATTAAGGCAATTCAGTCTGTCTGTGTAGGATTGGCTTTTTAGACCGTTTACCAGCTTTGTTGCACGCCGTTGTACTCGTTCGAGGCATTCTTGGTCCTCTACTAACGATGGCCGCCATGCTTGTATGCCATATTCTAAGTGGGGCCGAACAAAAGTGCCATAAATTCTCCCAAAAAGGTCTTGGCCAAAGTTTACGAAAGCTCTTTTGATTGCATGCAGCACTCCCATGGCGTTTTTTGCAGCCATGTGGCACTGCAGTGTTGGTTTCAGGTTGTTCTGTACCCAAACCCCGAGATCCTTCTGTGAAGTTTCCGCAGGGAGCCTTATATCCTTCAGGTGATATGTCCTCAGGCTCTCATTTGAATGAGAGTTGGTTGGATGCAGATGAAGGACGGCACACTTCTCCACATTGAAATCTAGAAGCCATTTCTTCGACCACGCTTGCAGTCGGTGCAGATTATCTTGAAGGGATCTCTGATCATTCGGACCCTTGATGACTTGCCAGAGCCTAACGTCGTCTGCAAACATTATTTTGCCGCAGTCGAGTTCCTGAAGGCTGTCGTTAACGTAAAGTATGAAGAGCAATGGTCCCAGAACTGAGCCTTGCGGCATACCACTGGTTATGTATGTATGTATATTGAAGGGTTACAGGCAGAGCCCTTGATGACCCTATTTATGTACAGTGCTTTCGCAGATTCATACTCAAAAATAAAATAAAATTGCAGGCATTTAAAATGTGATTGGGTCCTAGTTCAATCGTAATCATAAGGTAATGCATGGGGTCACTGTAAATTAGTGCGGAAGATTGTATATGACAGATTTTACAAAACTGGCTGTGCATAGTCATGCTGTACAAGCCGATTTCTGTCGAAAACTAGACGAGCAAGTTTTCTTTTAAACACACGAACTGTGTCAGCCGTCACCATCTCGCTTGGAAGCGAGTTCCACGGTCTGACAACTCGTTGGCTGAATGAAAATTTTCGTCGGTCTAAACGCGTGCGCTCATCCCTGACTTTGTACGCATGGCCGCGTAGTTGGTTTGTACGGGCGAACTCAAATAAGTCTTCTGCTCTTAATGAGCAACCCTGGCCGCGAACAATCCGGAAGGTCCAGAGTAGACTGCAGTTTATTTGTCTATACGAGAGAGGGAATAGACCAAGCAAATTCAGCCTCTCCTGATAAGACAAATGCTTCAGACCGTCGACCATCTTTGTCGCTCTGCGTTGCACCTGTTCGAGTAAGTTGATATCCTTCCTCATCCATGGTGAAGCTGCTGGCATTCCATACTCTAGATGAGGTCTTACAAAGACACCAAAGAGTCTTTCGAAGAGTTCAGGAGGAAATATTTTATATGCACGTCTGATCCAGTGTAGAGTACTAGTTGCCTTCTGGACCATCTTTCTGCAGTGTTCTGATGGCGATAGATTTGTGGTCGTCCATACACCCAGATCTCTGTGTCTTTCGACAGTTTCTAACCTCGTCCCGTCAATATAGTACTGGTGTTTGGGAGAGGCATTGCGGCCGGTGTTCAGGTGCAAAACCACGCATTTGGACACGTTGAACTTCAAAAGCCATCTGTTCGACCAAGCACAGAGTTTGTTGATGTTCGACTGCAACTTCTCTGCGTCATCATCACACTTGACTTCACTCCATATTTTTATGTCATCCGCGAACATGAGAGCCTCGCAGTTCACTTCGCTGATGCAGTCATTACCATAAATCAGGAAGAGTACTGGGCCTAAGACAGAACCCTGTGGGACACCACTTTCCACCTTTACCCATTCCGAGGTAGAATTACTAACGACGACTCTTTGTAGTCTGGAGGACAGAAAACTCCTGATCCACTTAAACATTCTCCCTTGAATCCCTACATCCCAGATCTTTTGTAAAAGAAGCCTGTGTGGGACACTGTCAAAGGCCTTCTTGAAGTCAAAAAATATGACATCTACTGGAAAACCCTTATCGGTAGCTCGTGTCCATTTCTCGTGTGAGTAAAGAACACTCGTTAAGCAGGAGCGCCCTGGACGAAAGCCGTGTTGGGCATCGCACAATATTTTGTTCTGTTCCAGGTATTTCATCAAGTGTCTTTTGATAATGCGTTCCATTATTTTACATTCACCCATTCTGACATATCATCCCCGACACAGACACGTTGTTTCCGACCAACCAGAAACGCCCTAATCCACTTCAGAAGATCTCCCTGGATGCCGATTGCGCTCAATTTGTGAAGAAGACGTTGGTGCGGGACAGTGTCAAAGGCTTTGCGGAAATCGATGTATAGGACATCGACCTCAAAACCCTCTTCTATCCACACCATGATATCCTATCGACATCACTGGTGGGGAACTTCGATGACTGTGTTTTCTCCCACTCATTAACCTGTACATTCTGTTAGTTTTTGAACAGGTTATTCTGTCAGAAGCTAACCTTTCTCGCCCGTTACTGGTTTTCAACTGCTGGTCCAGTCTGCGGATAGGCGTCTGCATTCTTCATTGTTTGCGATTGTGCGAGCACTCTCGATACACTGAAGGTCAATTCCATCGTCTTGGACTTCCGTTCAAACTTTCCGTGAGTTTGCTTTGCCTAATTTGTTTCTCGCAAACTGGTGTGCGTGCGCAGATGTGCACAGTTTCAGTAGGTAGGATCGGATTTAGTCCATCCAAGAGTGTTGTTTACCTAGAGGGTAGTCCGAAGTTGTGCCCAGAAGAGACGCAATGATTTGCCTACTTTGTTCTTGCTGCTGGGTCATATCCCTGTTCTCCTTTCAACTTCTTCGTTCACTGTCGCATTGATTCAGGCCCTCTTTCCAGAGGAACGTCTGTCCGCATTTGTAGCTTCTTCATTGAGCTGACAGAGCGCATGGCAGTTTGTGCTACTGGCGTTTGCTGATTCTGGATGACCCGATATGTGTCCTATAGGCCACGTGTAGGGCGCATATCCAGGACGCTGTCCGTTTCTATGGCACTGAGTATCTGTCCGGTCTTCATGGTGTTTGTAGTCTTGGTGACGTCCATTGTTCTGTTAACTTACGTTCGTTGCTGCTGTTACATTAACCCGTTTTTACTTCTTTTAATCGTCTGCAGGTTTTTTTTGTGAACCTGGGGAGGACTGCTTCACAGAAGAGCGGTTGCGCAGCCTCGATCTCCAACGTCATTAGAGGAGCTGAAATCTCCAATCTGGCACCACGGGATCATTATGTCCGACATCCCCAGACCGGAAGTCTGGGATGCCCAGCAGAGCTAATGTAGGAGGCTCTGATGTATCCGCCTCGAGTAACTTCGCGGTATTCTACTTTTGAGGTGGAAAGGGCAGGCTCCGGGCACCCAAGTTCTGAAATTACCTTCCATGTTGAGCATCCGTGCCAATTTGAAACGGACTGAAATTCGGTCCACTGAATGACAGTCGCACGTCTACACAAACGGCCCTCTCTTGGCGGCACTCCCATAGTGATAGAAGCAAGAGTCACAAAAATGGTTTTGAGCCTTCGCCCAAAACACCTGGAACTCAGCCCTCAAGTACTGAAGAGACCGCTTCCAGCATGGCCCAATGGGAAGTGACGAAAAGGCGGAATGAGTACCCAACTACGTCCGTGTTTTCAACGGGCTTTTAAAATCAGTCAGCTTCCTTTGGCGGACTATTTGGATTCCCTCGCACCTCACTGCCGAGAACAACTTTCAACACGCATCCAAAGCCCATCTCTGCGCTCCATTCGCTGGGTAGGTTTTACTCGTGTCTCATTTACTTTTCCTTCTAGAGCTTTGGTCGTTCTTCTTCACCTACTGTCACATGGAGGGCTCTATTGAAATTTGTTTTTTTTTCAATTTTAGCCCCTCGAAGGCTACTTCAAGAAGCCGTTGCATAACTGGTCGTCGTACCTAACCCTCCTTCGGCACCCTTTTGGCACCAGCATACCCCGCCGTTCGGGAACTAAGACGGACAGACTTCTGACAGAATGGGGCATGCAGACTGATTGTACTGTCTTGAGCGGCTTCTGGGTGCCCCGGTGAAGCGTTTGCCTCTCGAGACGGGTCTAACAGCATCGCATTTCAACTCGACTCCTCAATATCTCCATGCAGTCCCTATCATTTTGACATGAGTGCAGTCGTTTAGGGGATTCTTGTCGCTACCAGCTAAAATGTGCATTGACAGCCACGTTAATGAGTAGTACTGGGTCGCAGTTGGCGCGCACCCCGAGCGTATACCGGTGGTTTCACTGTTGACCTGTTATGGCGAGCCCTCTCCCTCCCCTCCTTGTTTTCCCACTGGGATTGCGGAGATCTTGGGTTTTACGCCTGTGAGACCGTCTATACCGGCAACGCTTTGTTCTCTCCTCTACGGAGTACAGCTCCACACTGTACTGCCCTCCTACCTCGGGCTCAGTCGGCTTTAATGAAATCCCCCCCCCTCCCCCTAGAAAGGAGGGAGGGAATGCGTTCTGCCACCTTGTCTGCCCGTGAGTTGCTCATTTAGAGTCAGATGAGTGCACGCGGCTGTTGGTGCCACAGCATCCCCTGAACGATTGCACTTTTGTCTTCCCCGAGCTTCTCATGACGAACTTCACACATGCACTCATCTCCAGCTCTTTTACTTTTGCTACTGGTTTCACAATCAGTCGTCCATCCTGTTGACACCTCCCCCCGTCTCATGATCTCTGCCCTCCCCATAGAGCGGTCCGCAGCATGTGTTTTTAACCGGCCTGTTTTGAAAATCTTGTTGTCTTCCAATCTATCTATAAAAATCCTATTGACTTGCCTTCAAGTCTCTTTAAATAAAAATGTGCAAGAGATTGGGAGTCGATGTAAGTGGGAGGTATTTTTTCGGCTAAAACTGATATCCCATACACTAGTGTTTCCTGGCAGCTGGATGCACCAAAGACAATCCCTTAGGCCTTAAGTCTATGCATCCAGAGTAATGGCACCTGAGTTCAAACCTCGTGTCGTCCCTCCCTCCCCCTCCATTGGGTTTGAACACTAGGGACTGACATCATTTGACGGCACCGTGCATGTCTGTGCCAACCTCACTTGTTTTGTGCGTTGACATTCTGAGGGGAGTGCGGACTTGTCGGGGAGAACTCGCTAGTACTAAGACTACAATCTCTAATAGAATCCGAGCATTATTCAGTCGGTCGACTGGGTCCAAATATTGTCGACACTTTTTTCAATCTCGAATGTGTAGTAAAGCTTCTGCAGACGAGGGAGGGATGAGACTGCGCGTCTAATGGCGATTATTGTAAGCCTGGTGTTGGGGACTCGAACGAGGACTGGGTAATGCGTTTAAATCGTACAGTTCCACTGACATTGGGGGTGCAACTCGATATGTGCGGCTCAAAGCAGGCGGTGGAGGCTCGAACCATTTGGGGGTGGGGGTCACGTGGTTTTTTTCATGACTATAATCTACAAGGTAAGCCAGTGATCATGGTTCCGACTGGTATCATTGTGCCCTGGGAATAGGCTTGGGGATTTCCAAGGTTGAGGTGCTCGTAAAACTTGGTGACGATGCAAACTTCTTCTGTGAACCGTCATTGCTGAAACCGGTATATAAGCGGCGAGTGTGACGGGAGTAAGTGGGCTAGCGTCTTCGGTGTGCCATCCCTTCAATTCCTTGCTACCACGCTGGTTCTGAAGGTTTTTGCCGTCTACCGGTTTTCCTCTGTTAACGTTCAAGTGTCACTTGCAACGGTCCAATGGCATGGTCGACTTCCACCGCCGCTTCCTGTCAAAATGTATTGACTCCATGCTGCATTATTTTCCATCCAAAGTGCTCCCCTTGGGGCTTACTGGTAATGCACTGCCTGCTTAGTAGAGGCGGATGTCACTGACTGTTTTCGGACCAAGGCCTGCCCTTCTGACGCTTCTTGCTCCAACCGCCTTCTGGATGGTCGCGATTTCGCTATTCTTGCGTACATCAAGCCGCCGACGTTCGTCCTTCGACTCCACCCAGACTGTGATAATCCGCGAGTGTGTCAACTTGGGGTACAATTCACCGTCCAGCCCACCATTGTGTCGACCTCACTGTCACGGCAGCTGCGCAAGAAATAGTCATTTAGTCGACCTCAGCTCGTGAAACTTCGTCTGAACACCAGGGCTGGCGCAATCCTTTATGACCTCTCATACCCCTCTCACCACACTGTTCGCGCCCGCCCTGATGCTTTAAGCTGTGCTTCAATCTATTCACAGACTTTCCCATGGAAAGGTTCGTCTGGCCTAGCGTGATGAAGAACGTCGAAGCCAGGGCACGTTCCTGTCCAAGCTTTCGGTTGAACGCGGTGTGATCCCAAAGCATGTTTCCACCGGGCATCTTCCCTAGCCTGGTCGTTATGTTCGGTTCTCCATCAACGGTGGCGACTGAGATGCTCGGATTGAGTCTGTCCTCTTGCAGGCCCTCCTCACCTTGTCTGAACCGGTATTCGAACAATGACCTACCATCTAGCAGCCAAGGGTATGGTCGAGCGCAGTCATCTCCCGTGTGTCGCACCGGACCCAACAAACCACTCATAGAGTCCGTCTCTAGTGTGTCTTGATATTCGCAAAGCAATATGTTCGGGTTTGGATTGTAGCACAGCCGAATTGGTCCTCGGCACTACTCTCCGGCTGCTAAGGCGGTTGGTCATGCCGAATTTTTGCTGCATTTGACACGTTCACTATCCCCTCTTCCGTCCCAAACTCCACCAACCGATCCATATTTTTGAATCCACAACGGCAAAATATGCTGACCCCTTGCCCCTCCTCCTTAGCGTCCACAGTGGACGCTACATTGTCTTTCCTGACCTCTCGATTACTAGCGTTCTTTAAGTTTGGACAGTTCCTTCGGCGTCGTTCTACACTGCCCTTCGTCTAGCCCACCCCCGTGATCGCCAGAGCGGCCGTCTACTCATGCTTCCTTTTTTCCCCCGTGTTCCCTGTCAATCGATTGTTTTAGCAACGCATGCCTTGTCCCAGACGTGGCGAGAGCCAGAAGTCAATCGAGGCTGTATTGTTCGCTGATTGCATGCAAGCGGACAAAGTTCATACACACGAGCTGACTGTCATTCGTCAGTTGAAACGATTCGCCGACACTGTCTGCTGAGCTGACCGTTCGCCCTTCCACCTCAGAAAAATTTGTTAAATAACTCCGTCTCCCGTGGCTTGTGACGCGGGAATCCTCGGGCTGTCGACCAATTGCATCCTGTCATCTCAGCCTCAGTACCCTGCAAAGGCCCTTGCGATGGAGACAGGTGACCTTCCTGGCTTGGCTTACGTAGACGGTCCAGGTCTCCGCTCCGTGCATGAGTGTCATCAAGAGGACGGCCTTGTACATCTTTAGTTTGGTACTCATTTGAACACCGGGACGATTCCACGGGGGGTCTCCAGCTGGCCAATGGACCGGCCGGCTTTGTAGAACCGACGGGCAAACTCGTCCTCGGCGTTTGTGTTGTGACAGAGTGTGCATCCTAGGTAGACGAAATTGTCCACAGTTTGGAGTTAGTTGTCGTTGACTGTGCTCCAAAATTTATACTCAGTGTTCGGTGACGGTTGCTGCATGACCACCGTTTTGTCCGTGTGTGAAATCCCGGCGTGTGCACATGGGGGCCAGGCCGTGTGTGAAACACACGCAAAGGATCTCTCCTCCGCTTTGTCAGCTACCTCTTCTAACCTCAACATCGGTCGGTTAACCGGCTCGAGCTGATGACTTTAACACGGGATATGTTAATGTGAGTGTGGTCGTCTCTCGGCACATAATTCTCCACCATTAGCGATTTGAGGCAATTGGGACTGTCGAGTTGGCTAAACGCCTAGACATTTATGCTTCCCCTCAGACCACGCCAGTATTCCCACTTGTGTGTTTGCGAACTGAGTGGCCAAATAGTGGACTGAGAGCCAGACTGCGATGGCTGTGGTGGTTGTCGCCTTTGTAGACGCTGTTTGGTTTGGTGTGCGAATGACAACCGAGTCTTCTGTGAAATCAGTAGGGTGGATTTATCGGTTTATTGTCACACTGGGCCCAGAGATTCCAGACGAGGTCTACCCGAGCGCGGAATGTTCGCCCATAACGCAGACATGTTGAAAGAGATTTGGTTTGGACGTTGTATGTCAGAGGCGACTGAGACTTGCATGTCGCTCTTTTGGAGTTGGCAACGGCGATCCTACCGACTGTGTAGTGGCATGAAAACTGTTTTGTTTTAGTGCGCCAAAAGTACGATCTGTAAAAGACTTTGTACAACTTTCAGTATCAATCTACCCTCACGCGGCTACTTTGTTTTTCTTAATTCTACTCGCGAGAGCGGTCTATTCCTCAAACTGGTGACCCTCTATCGTTGATAGTGCCTTCGCTTCATTTTTGTGTGTAATTATTTCCACGCGACCACCCTACCTTTTATTGGTCAGATTATTTTATCCACACCTTATTTGACATTCTTTTTGCCTCACCTTTGCAACCATTGCGAGTGCTACCCTTCATTCTCACTGTCAACGCGACAGTCATCTGTCCCAATTATCAAACCTCTGACCGAAATCGCCCCACTGTGTCCAACGATTCTACTAGCCAGGCGATAGCCAGCATTCACGACTTTGGCCTTCCATCCGTGCGGCTTGATGACGCCGCTGTGGCTGCGCGTTTTAGAGTCCTGTTTCGCCCTCAGCCGAATTACAAGAGAGAATGCGAAATTTCACTATGTTGTGTCAGCACTCCGAATCGATATCGCCAGGGTCCTTTGCAACATCATCGATTGCCCGCCCACATAGTCCCCATAGACTCCTCTAGGAGAGGCTCCCATCTCTCACATTCCCCTATCAACACAAACACGTCTGCAGCGTCTGATTTCCGGGCAGTACCTTGGTGACAGGAAGCCTGCGCAGTTCCTTAGGCGTTTAGAGCAGCACGTGGACGAGCAAAAGCTGGATGTCGCCATGTTCAAGCAACTTTTCCTCCAACGGTTACTCAGTTCTGTGAATCTTACCTTACGCCTACCATTCGTTCTTGGACTGTCCAGATGCTCGCAGAGTCATCGATCGTATACTAGAGTACTGCC